AGGGGGGCAGCAGCAGGATCAGAGTCACAGGGCAGGTCACAGGGCAGGTAAACTTGATGACTCAAACCCAGTCACATCCTGATTGACTGACAGGTCAGTGGGTTCGGTGATGAAGTGGGAGTGAAGCTCCGTGCGGGCACATGTGTCCCAGAGGCAGCGTCTCTGGGACACATGTATGCACACAAAGATGCACATTCCTCATCTGTGAACGCACAAGCACACAGAGACCCAGAGACCCCCTCGGGGGGCGTGGGGATGGGGGGGGGGGATTAGTTGGGCTCCTTAGCCAAGATGGTAATTCTTCGTACAGTCACATCAGTCTGAGCGGTCACGTAACAGCTCTGACCTGGAATGTGAGGGACCCCCTCCGCCGAAGCCCACCCTTACACTAAGAATGAAAATATTTACAACAGAGCCGCAGTGAAGTAATGCATCCTCCGCCCTCTGGCCTAAATCGCAGCAACTCAGGCTCTCACAAGAACACTCAACACTCTCAAAAAAGTCTCCGCAGTTGCTTTTTTAACAACTGTAACTATTGTTTTCCGCTCACGCAACGCTTTGTCCACGCTTCCCGATTCGTTGCACTTTCTCTGTGGCTCTGATTGAGCAGAAAATTCCTGATATGGAGCCAACTGTAACATAAGTTTTCCATAAAAGATTCCAGGTTGTATGGATTCAGTGAGTCCCGACAAAAGCCTACAGATTACTGACCGGCAGGAAATGAGGTCATTTGCATTGATAGAGATGATGGGAAGAGCTGGAACCTGTAAGGATGTAGATTTCCATGAACCTGTTGACCTCCTCACACACACTGAGGCTGCGGTCGCCTGTTCAATAACTGGGTCAGGATTCCCTGGATGGAGGAGGACCCACCTCTCTCCTCTGAGTTAGATCAAATATGATGCTAAAAGTGTGTTTTAATGTCAATTTTTTCCCCCTCTCTCCATCCATTGGTCTATTCTTTCACCCACTTTACTTCCTCTTCTTCAAGACATGTTTACTGGTTGAGGAGACCTGGGATGACACTGAAGGAGAAACAGGATCCACCCTGATATAGGCACCAGTATATTACACAGTTGAGTTGAACCCCTTGACTCTAACAACCACATTCTCACCAGAGGCAGTTTGGAGCCGGTTGTTAACCTAGAAGGACCTCACAGTTCCCAAAGAAAACTATTGCATCAGAAGAGGAAGCTGTCTGAGATTGAATGCAGAAATCCTGCTTTGTTTGACTATTACCGTCTCTAACATAGGGGTCCCCAACCACTGGGCTGGGGACCAGTATTGGACAGTGGATCATTTGGTACTGGAACAGAAAGAAGTTTTGTTTAGAAATATTTTCAAAATAAATCTAATCTGATTGACGTTTTATTTTGAAAAACAAAATCACATTGTCTTAATCCTACACTTGACTGAGAATTTAACCAGACTTTGGCAAAAGTTAGTTAAAAAAAAGTGTTGTGTAGTAGTTGTCCATTGATGGCCATACAGCAGGGGTGTCAAACTAATTTTCACAGGGCGGGGGGGGGGGCACTTAAGCAATACAGTTCCTCTTGAAGAGCCAGTTGTATCTATAAGATTATGTAGATGTTACTACTCCATAACGTATTAATACATGCTTCTGCAGTTATTATAATGTTTTCAAGTTACAAATCTTGTACATCGGTCTGTGTAATAATACAAAAAAAAAATTATCAAGTTAAGAAACTCAGCAGTATGGACTTTATTATACGGTAATTAAACACTTTTTAAGTTCCAGGGGTCCACACAAAATGACTTGGCGGACCATGGATTCATGGACAGAACCTTTAACCTGACTCTTGACTCCACTAAATATCCCGTATGTTTTTTAAGACGCACCTGCTGACACAGGA